CCCTCTCCCCGCACCCCACTCCCCTCCACCCAGTAGTCTCTAACTTTGCGAAATTGAGAATTAGTAGAAGGAAGCTAGAAGCCACATAATGTTCAGAAAGGAGCGATTATTTTAGTATGAAAGACAGTAATATTACATCTTGATCAACAGCTGTATTTTAACACAGAAAAAATCATGTTATCATTTAAATATGGTTCATTTCCTTGTTAAAAATATTTCTATTTAAATGTTACCTTAAAAAGAATGAGTGTTCAAAATCACAAAGAACTTTTTTCTGAAAAAATGGGAAATTTCAAGTTAAATTCAGAGGTTAAATATTTATGGGATACTGTTTTCAATTGCTTTTACAATAGCAAGTCCTACTTAGGCTTGTCTCTTGATGAAACTAATAGATGGAATACTATGAAAGTAAAACTGAAGAGAAAATGTCATATACAGAAATAGTATCTGATGCCACACAAAATCAATTTTTCTGCTAAAAAAATGTTTTTTGATTGCTGTTCAGGTGCCTGGTTAATAATAGGTGCATATTGTTATATTATTCCCTTAACATGTTCCTTTTTTTAGGTGCTGTTGTATACTAAAATACATTTCCATGCTCTTGTTTTCCTGTGTTTTCTGACAGAGCAAATTTTCTAGCTTGGCAAATCAATGCCTAGGAATTTGTTATGCTCTGGTATGCAAAAAAGTAACCTTTAATAAACCTGTATTAACTGGATACTTTCTGGTTTGGCAGAAAAAAAGCTAACCCATAACCTATTTGTTTTATACAGGGATCAGCTTTTCCTGTCAATTATGCAAGCAGAATTATGCAAAAGCAGCGTTTTCTTCCGTAAGTGTAAAAGGCCCTCCTTCTTTCTACTTCTCCTCCACACTCCCTAAAAAAAAAATATATCCAACTTTAACAACTCGTTTTATGCTTTCCCCATTACCACATTTCTAGACATTCCGACTTGATGGGAATACGGCTGGCTGGATCCCATGTTGATACACAGGAGCCTAAAACTAATCCTTTGGTAAGTGTTTCATATGATGGTATTTTGTATATTGTCTTAGTAACAAAGACAGTGTACAGAAAAACTTGAATTCCTTTATTGCAGCTTTTTAAAGTTCTGCCTTAATGATGTTGCATTTGCCATAGAGAAAAAAACAATTTAGATTATTTGTATTTAAGATCTTTTTTTTTTTCCCCCCCCAGCAAGATTTCTGTAGCTTACAGTTGCTTCTCAGTCGCTTTCCTTCTTCTCTGTGCAGCTGTAATTCTATGAAATACCAGCTTTTTGGCCACAGTTCAGCGCCTGCAGCAGCTTCGCCAGCCTAAGGCCTTTGTCTCTGGCTTGGAAGCTGGGAGCCCAGGGCTGATGAGGTGGGAAGTTCATGAACGCATGTGGTGGATATCTTGCTTTTAGAATCTGAATGCCTTGATTTTGACTAGGACTTCAGAAACACGTGCTCAGTCTGTGTAATACATGCGTACAAGCCAAAATCTTACAGGCAGCATTAGATCTGCAGTGCACACCCAGCCCTCCTGGCTGGATTTACTGGGCTAAACTGCCTGGGAGTAAACCTGTGGGAAAATTGGTGCTTCCTGGACAGATCCAGGCTTTTTAGATGATCACTGAGCCCAGGGGCATCAGAAATTGAAGCTCTAACTGAAAGTCATAAATTTGTAACTGTACGCCATAAACTTGTACCTGGACAAACATAAAGGATAATATGCCTGGGGAAGCCTGCTATGTTTAATTAGCCTGATAACTGACTTAGTAAAGTGAGAATTCTGGTTGCTGTCCATAATGTTTTAGTTACTGTCCGTACCCAAGCAAAGTCTGAGAATTTCAGGTATTCTCACACCGACTGCAATTTAAAATACAAATATTGCTGCTCCAGACTTGCTTTAACAATGAGTTTCATTCTTGCCTCTGCTAGTGTTATCCTCCTTATATTTATCTGGCGTTCCCTTTCCTTTTCTGATCAAGAAATTTTACCTAAATATTCAGAAGTTAGGTATCTCTTCACTTTTGCCTTGCCTGATAAGAGTGAGAACTGTCAATCAAGGCTCTTGCAGATAAACTAAAATAAGCAGCTAACAACAGTGTGTGGGTGTTTTTCCTCTTTTACAAATGGGGGGCACAGGCTAAGAAAATATGCGCTGCATGCATTAATTAAGGAGTTGTAACTCTTGTCCTTTCTTTAAAAACGCAGGTATCTATTTCAGATGAGCCAGAAACACTGTACAAGAGATTGTCCCTTTTAGTTAAAGGCCATGATAAAGCTGTGTTGGAGAGCTATGAATATTTTGCAGTGCTTGCAGCTAAAGAACTTGGCATCTCTGTTGAAAAAGTGTAAGTAACTGATCTGTAGGGTGATGTGGTGTCAGATGCTTCTTACGTCATCTACTGTAATTCACGTTCTGTGCTTAGAAGTATTTTCCTATTTTCTGAAGAGATGGGTATAATCTGACTTTTCTTCTCAGATTATAAATCTAACACTTCTCAGATGGCAGCACAGTGACGAGAAAGCAGCACCAGTTCTGCACTCAGCACTGCTGTAGTAGAAATGCATTTTAACTACATGGAGGATATTGACAGTACTTCATGCAGTTGTCAGTGCTCTAGCTTCCCTGAACTAATGCTGGTTCATACCTAAGCATTAACCATGCTCATGTGGGTTAATAATAAACTGTACCAGTGTTTAATACTTCCTTGTAGATCTTCTAAATGTCAAATAAGAACAGGGATTTCAGCATAATCATTCAGATAATTTGTATTAGAATACTTGATATAAAATGAAATTTTCTTTTTATGCTTTGTTCAGACATAAACCTCCAAAGAAGATAGAACGGTTGACGCTTTTAAAATCTGTACACATTTACAAGAAGCACAGAGTTCAGTACGAAATGAGAACACATTACATGTGTTTGGAGGTAAGAAAGATCTAACAAAAAAAAAAGGATGTTCTAGGTGCACAATTCAAAGATGTTAGTAGATGTTAGTTCAGGAGTGAACACAAACTTCCTGTTTACTTGGGTTGGGGAGGGGAATGCAGGGAATAGCAGAAAACAGCTGACCTAGGTACATCAAATGCAACACAAGTTATTCTGTAGGTACAGCCTGCATCATTTTTGGATTAAAAGGCTGATTTTGACAATCATCTTAACAGCTGAAAGAATGATTAAAAAATAAGGTAGAACTGAGGGTTATCTTTGTACATTTTATGCTCTTGGTTTCCAAGAACCAGTGGGATAGGAGCTTTCTCAGGAAGGGAAGAAGATGCAGCTAAATCATTGTCATTACCAGTCACTAAGGGTTCTGTTCAGCATGAGTTTGTCTGAACTTGCAACAGTTTTTGAACACACATGCTTTTGCCCTATGCAACATCATGTGGCAAACTAAAACTGCGTGGGGGGAATAGAAGAAAGGAAGCGTATACAAACCACTAGCTCTGTGGCTGATGACACAGACTTCTGTATGGTTTAGAATGCAGCTGCGGTCAACTTTCTTAGAAGAAAGGTTTACTGACAGCATTTTGTGGCTGCTGGGTGTCTTACTGTGTATTTGCACAAGTGCTTAGCAAAATGGGACTTTGCTTTAAGTTCCCAGACATTAGTGCAGTACAAATGGCTGCCCACTGACCATAAGCACTACTTCTGCCATCCAGGAGAAACTAGAAAATCAGTAATTCAATGGAGTTCTGGAGTTGCAGGATTTATAACAAGCTTGAACTTTGAGAGTATACAAAAGCTGGTAATTATTGCATAACCTGTAACTAATTTCATCTGATGCCTGCAGTGTTAAGATCCACCACTTCCATCATAATCAATGCATGTGATCACAGGCAGTATGTGCAGTTCTACGGAGTGAAATAACTACTTTATACTTGCGTGAGAGCTGTGTACAGATGTTTGGTTCCATAGCAAGAACTAGGGAAGCTAGGGCAAACATTTTTCTTTTTATTCTGTTTGAAGTAGTAATAATGGTAGTTCATTAAAAAAACATTACTTCTCTTTTAGTTAAAATACCTAACAAGCAGTACTGCTGCAGTTTACTTGGAGTATGTTCAACGAAATTTACCTGAAGGGGTTGCCATGGAAGTAAAAAAGGTAAGTTTCCATCTCACATTGTTAGCTGTTGTGAGACTAAGTCCTGATGCAAGTACCAATAACTACTGAAGGCTTTAGAAATTCAGCAGAGGAAATGCACGTCGTTTGGAAGGAAGGCTTTCCTAAGTATTAAATGTTAAAGCGGCTGCATTGCTTGAAAACGCCACTAGGTGGTATTTTTAATCTTGTAGATATTTCAAACCAGACTAAATGAAATAAAGCAGTTAGATGTTAACTAATTGGTATAATAAATGGTTGCTTTGCTTTCCTTTTAGACTAAGATAGAGAAAATACCTGAACACATTCAGGAACCAGTTTGGGATACACTGCCTCAAGTAGAAGAAACTGAAGTCAAATCATGAACTCACCAGGTACTTGGCTCCATTAGTGCTGAAATTAGCTCCTCCCTTCAACCTAATTTACTGAAACAGTTTACTGTTAAATAAAAGTTCTCTTACAAAGTAATTATATAAACTCTTGTTTCATCGAGTTATTCTTGATCATAACTCCAGCACATGTAGTCTGAACAGCTATAAAGTGAAGAAGTTTGACTGTACTCTGTGATCAAGAACTATGGTCATCTAAAATACATTTCTAGAAAGGTAAAATTTATTTTTATATATGTGTGTATATACATAAAATATATAAAAATTCTCAATCTCTTTTTGATACTAAATGGCTTCTGAATTCTGAAATACTTGCAAAATCCATTTCAGCCTTTTTCAAACTGACTGGGTTGGTTATTGTGTAAACGCAGTCTAGCTGGACACTACTTATGCTTAGAGGGGAAAAACAGTACGAATAGCAAAAGAGTGCTCAACTGCTTTGAAGGCTAGGGAATCAAAGGAGATAACACTAGGTGCAAAACCATCATTGGCTTTACATTCAGGGTGCATTAAGCACTTCTGCCTTTACTAGGTTAGCAGGAAGGGCACAGCTGCAGCAATCTGCTTCAGTATTAAGGGAGTGGCTTTGATTTGACTGCTATTAAAAGAATTTACAGAAGGAACAGCCAACTGGGCTACAGGACAAGACCACCAGAGAGGCTGGATCGTACTTACCAAGAGCACTCAAAGCTTTATGCAGTCAGAAAAGAAAAAGAAGCCCAGTGTTTTTATCAGACTGAAATGGGCAATCTTAATAGGAAATAGCTGAAAGACAAGAAATCAAGCTTGTGCTTGAAGATTGTCTACATTTTCTAGCTGTAGAGAGGCCCAAAGCTGTTTTAGGAGCGATATTTCAAGACAGTCAATATAGCTGGTATCCCTCCTGATAGAAAGGAAGCTGCCTGTGTACTTTCTACAATATGCCTCAGGGAAAAAAAAAAAAAAAGGAAGTTAAAGCCCTTATGGGAAGATACACTGCCTAGCTCTTCCTTCAAGGTGTTTGCTTTCATCAAGCTCAAGCTATTTGTCCTTTCTCTCATTCCTAGTATTCAGTCATAATAGCATTTCTTAAAGTCATGTCAGACGCTATATAACATGAAGGAAGAAACTGTGAGCTGACCTGGTTAAATGAAGCTGGTGCTTCAGAGGAACAGCCTTTTTCCAGTCTGTATTATATTTTTTTTCAAATTTGCCATGGTACCATGCTTCAGTTTTGCATAAACCATCTGCCAAGTTCAAGCTGTTTAGTGTCAAAATGTGACTGTGTTCAATACTGTCTTTCCACATCTTGGTTTGATGCATTGTCTTTTATTGTCTTTGGTGTTCTACTTTCAGCCAGCAGTTTTTGGCTAAGTGGCCAGCCAGCATGGCTTTTCAGTTGGCTCAGAGTTTTAGTTATCAGACCTAAATAGGAAGGGATTTACGAGACAGCTGCAGAAAGTCTTAACCTATGTAAGCAACCCCCTGGCAGAAGGGATAGTTCTTCTTGGGAAAGGTGTATTATTAGAGAATTTCTTGCTTCCAGACTCATCGTATGTTGGGGAAAGCCAGTGTACATGTAAAGTGATCTCTGGACCTTAACTGTGTTGACAGAGCCATGCTAACTGCCATCACTTATCATCTCCACCCCAAAAAAGCAGAACGACCTATGCAGAGTCTGACTGTTACAGACTAATATTTACTAGCACTGCCATTTACTAACCTCAGTAGGCCACACTTCTCATCCTTATTTTGCCCTGTATGAAACTTCTTCCCCTTTAAGACTGTGTGATCCTTCCCTGCTTCCTCTGTCCTCCCCTTCGTGTTTAGGGATGCATTAAGGCCTAACAACATTTTTGTCTTTATCTCTAGTTATGCATTTGCATAGCATTGTAACTGTGCAATACACTATGATCAGCTTTTTCCATCTAATGTAGCTTCTGACTTTCACAGCATATTCCTGATCCTCACTTATAAAACTTTGGATAAACTATTTTGTTGGATAAACTATTTCCATTCTTTACTACTTCTCCCATTCTTTTGCTATGTGTTTCTCCAGTTTTGCTTTTTCTGCTACGTTTCTTAGCAAGTGCCAACACAACACTCCAGTCATTGCTTCAGGTCTTGTCTCAAGTCATCTTTCTACCTACTGACAAACATCTGATTTTCAATCATAACATTTTTAGTTGAATTTTAGAGGAAGTTAATAAAAATGCCATGCTTCATACCGTTTATAAACATCAGTACTTGAGCATGCTGTACTGTGTTCTTGTGAGTTAAAACATCCAAAACTTAAATGATAAATATCTGAAGTGCTCACTTTTGCATTCATACAGCAAAATTGCCAGAATCGCCAGTTTCATGCCCTGACGTAAAGGCAACATATGCCACACGTTCTGTGCATCACAGCTAAGCATTCCTACCTTTCTAGAACCCCAGTTTGAATCTGAAAGAGTCAAACCACTGTCAGTATTGCTGTATGTGTAAACTAGCACTTAAGGAGAGAGGGAGAGGTTTCCAGACATGGAACTGAACTGAATTCTTAGGATCAGCTTGATATCATTGCCCTTTTTATGAAGGAAAGATGGATGAAAAGACTTTACAGAATGCAGTAGCAAAGCTTGACTTTCAATACCCAGTAGCGTGCAATCTCACCCTATAATCAGGACACAGATGCTTAATCCTGGTGCTCTCACCCCTGGCTAATGGTACTTCATTAGTCCCACCTAGCAAGCAAGTTTAACCCAAGTCAGTCATTCAGAGGAGATTTAAAAATGTTTGGTTAAGCTAATGCTCTGTCTTTCTAGATGGAGTTTCACTATATATGAACTTAGGCACCAATAAGCCTTTCAACCTAATTACCTTTGTTTTCCCTCCCCCCTGTTCAGGTTTCCCTGTAATCTGTGTGTGGCACTGAAGGATAGACACCTCTAGTCTGAAATCCAATCAAGTTCCTTCTACCCCTTTGCAGATAGCTTTGTTGGGTTCCAGCCTGCTGGTCTACTCCCACTGAGTACTAGAAGAACTGAAAATACTCAAGAACACAGACAGACCAACGAGCAAGTATTTGATAAAATTTTCCTTTATTTAAAGGCTAAGGTACACAACCCAAATTATTTGCATTAAGAGAAAGAAAATTGTGCTTTTCTGAGTACAATTCCTCACTGTTAGGAGGCCGCTTTGTGGCCATCCTCAAGCTTGTGTGACTAGGTGTCCAGCATTATCTGCCAGTATGAAAAAATACTTTCCCAAGGGTCATAGAAAACAGATGCCAATGTAAAGCTGTTACAGAAACCCACAGAGGGGTAACAAATACTAAGAAAAGTATCATGAAAGCAGTTGCCAGATACAACAGAGGACTTCTATCAGTGGTTAGACTGTTGCAATCTAAATAGGACCTGTGCTAAATATTGGCACTGAAGATAGACAAGTTTTCAAGTCCGTTCAATCTTTAAAATTCTTGGTGACTGCCAGTAAGCTGGAGGTGGATTTCCTTCCACAAATACTTTGTGACTAAAAACTGTCAGCCTACTTTAGGTGTCAAAAAATACACAGACCAATATATTATGTAAATAATATATAACAGCTGTTTAAAATCTTCAGGTTTGCAGAATAATCTGAAACTAAATCCAGAGCATTCACTTACGTTACTTTTCTCTGAGGCATTTATTCATTTAAAAATTGTCAGGGAGGCTCTGCAGTTGTGGCAGAATCATATTATTTATGGATTAAAGATATTTTAAAATAATAGTTTAAATTACCCTGCATTTCCAAGACACCTAGGGTTCTTTTGCCATATGACTGTATTTTTCAGTACAAAAAAAAATTGCGAACAGTAATTTCTGTATTATTTAGAAAGGTATTTAAAGATGCAGTCCAAATTTATCCTCAGCATTCCATTGAAGTGCTCTAGAGCATGTGTTTCCATTTCTTATATATGTCAGGGCTCATCAGTCATGCCTGGAATCTTACTTCAGTTTTGGTTTCTACAGTTAGTCTTAATCACACCACCACCACAACTTAATTGTCATGTAAGCTTTAATATGGCTATACAGCAAGCAAGCTTCTTGCTTTAGAAGCCCTTCCTGCCAGTCTCTGCATTTCATGTGCCGGGAAATTAATTGCTATCTGTCTGTTATTCCAGGGAGCATTGGAAATCAAGCAAGTCCAAGGGAAAGTAACTTACCCAGGAAGTCGTGACATGAGAAAGTTTTAGTCTTTCATAGAATCATAGAATGTTTTGGGTTGGAAGGGACCCCTAGAGGTCATCTAGTCCAACACCCCTGCAGGAGCAGGGACACATAATACAAAGCTATAGTTAGAACTGCTTCAAGCCTGTTACTGTCTTAGACCAAACTGCGCTAAAACAGGCAGAGCCTAGTATTTGTCCCTTCAAATTAGAAATCTGGGAAGAGAACCTCACATGCTGATCGTGGCTTTTCCTAGCAAGTGCCATGAGGAAATGCCACCCTTTCTCTAGTTTCCATGCTGTTGCAGCCACAAAAATAGCACAACTGGCTTTTAAAAATAACTTCCCTATCATAAATGTTGGGGAGATTTCTTGCTCCTATTTAAGCAGTCCATCTCAGGTTTCCCTCTGACTAGTTTGATGTGGTCTTCTCAAGTTCAGGGGTTTTTCTCCACAAAACACCAGTATTCACCCTTGTCCATTTGTGTGGTGAAAAGTGGAACCTACGCTTCTGACAGTCACTCGTAAGCCAACCACGATAAATCACTACGGCCCTTGGAGGATGAGTGTGTCACAGCACATCAGTGTGCCCAGAGGTACTCAGTACCTCAGCTGACCCAGTTTCTTCAAGATACAGGAATCAGAGAGTCATTTAATTTGCAGTACGAATATTAAAGAAATCCTTTTAATACAAGCAATTTATTTGCTCAGGTAGGCACACACAGCGCACGTAACGTTTCTCTTCTGTAACGTTTTTCTACGTACTTCTGTACAGTAAGAGGACAGCATGATGGGGTTTGGGGGTTTGCTTTCCTGTGAAAAAGAAGTTACTCTCTCACTGTTCAATTCCAAATTCCTAGTTCCTCAACTAAAAGTACCTTTCTTTGGAAGTGCTGTTTATTGAATTACAGGAAACATGAGTGATAAAAATACAGGCTTTCTTCTTTCTGCTTAAATAAAATGCCACTTGATAGTACCAAAAAGCATGCAATCAGTGTAGCACATCTGCTGATGCAAGGTCTTTCGTACATCAGCACATTATTATCACTCATCTTTCATACCCTCCTGCCATGTAAATACTAACTTTTCTTTGCTTCAGTATATGTTTCCAGTTCAAAATTACAGTTTTTTCGGATCTCAGTTGCTGAAAATATTCATAGGAGTTTCTCACTAAGCCCTTAGAGTACAAAAGTTTCATCTTTTGCTCAGAGAAAGTGAAATTATCTACGTTCTGGAGACACAGTGACATCACAACTGAGCAATGCCAACAAGACTCCAAACGTGCACAGCAACTTCAGATTCCTAGAACTGATTAGAGCCCCTTTAGCCTGTGGTGGCCACGCTGCTAAGAAATTAAACGGCAGAAGGTTCAATTTGCCATCAAAAATCAAATGCAGTGATGAAACCATCAGACCAAAACAATCATTCTGTACTATCTAAGAGGGAACATAAAAAATAAAACCAATGTTCTATACGTAGATTAGTTCAGTACTAGTTGGCAGAAAAATGAATTCTAGTGTTTTAAACAGGATCAATTTTCATCTGACCAGTTCTTCCCTAACATCGGCACCCTCTCAAAAGCAGAGAAAGTCATCATGCAGGTTTCTTTCCTCTTTTCTCTAGCATCTCATTCAAATCTATGCTCTGCTTCACTTTCAAACATTTAATAACCTGTCCCAGTGCAGGGTATCAAGGGTTGGAAAACCTGGCCTTTACATGCTCTCTCCAAACCATTTTCAACGAACTGGGTGTGGATGTACTGCAGAACTGGTTTGAAACACTTGAAAAAAACATATCTGTTTTCTGGGTGTCCACAGGAGGTTTGGGGCTACATCTTCATCCCCTTCTTTCACATTCAGGTTTCCATTTCTGGCCTGTAAGCTGGAATGCACATGCCTACCAAGCTGTCAACTAAGCCATCTACTGTATTATAGATGCTTCTGCATAAATGTGGGTTTGGGGTTTTTTAAGCTAATGTTGCTATAGACAACACACGGACTCAGGCAGCTAATGTGGTTAGTGTACTTTGGATCTTTCTAAAATGCTTCTTGCCTGCACCCCCGCCAACAGAGATGCTATCTCGTTCTCCATATTCTGTATTTTTTCAGTGTGTAAGCTTGGTAGTTCTTTAAAGAATATGAAGTTCATTGTAGTAATTGTAGTAATGTAATGTTTTTACATTAACAACATATTATAGTAACCTCAGTGTAAGGAATTACAGTGTCAGTAAACATACCAGCCATTTTCTTGTCAAAAGAATTGCAGCTTGATTTTCAACAGCATTACTCGAAATATAGCTCACAGCGGGGGGGAAAAAAAAAAAAGTTTCTAAACTTAGTTTCCATCAGCAAAGTAAGATTATTAGGCTAAATATGGCTATCTGAGAACAGATATGTAATACAAAAGCACCCAGCAGTTCTGTTCTTAGCTAAGTTAGTTTTGTGTAAGAAAAAATAAACAAGCAACTTGCATACATAAGTAAAAAATATTTGCCTGAATAACTTTTTGTTGATCATTACTGCTAGAGAAAGAGGGATAAAAAAGTTTTAAAAATCTGTCGCCTTAAATATGGCCATGCTCTGCTCTTTTGGTAGGTCTGGGTACGACCTCAAATTAGCTTCAAAGGGTGATTGTGTTACCCTTTAGAAGATAATAGCATCATTCTTTCACCAAAAAAAGCATGCCACATCCTGAAAGTCCTGCAGCTGAACTGGCCTGCTGAAATGGCCGGCTCCAGAGGTACTTGTGTTCTTGTGCAGAGAACTTCTAGTTTTGTTAAGTAACCTATGAGGAAGTAGAAAGTTTGGGGTTTTTTTGTGATTAGAAATTTAATTTTATATTTTAAGTCAGCAGCCACCAAACACTGTATTTGGTCGTGGCTCTGCTTTTTGATTTTTCACTGGTATTTATTTCCTTGTTATTCTCAACATTTATGCAAATAGCACACCAGGGCAACAGCAAGGTACTTGCCTTTGTGTGGGTGCCAGCAGTTACCAGGAAAGGAGTGATGTATAGAAACAGGCAACAGAGAAGATTAAGCAAGGACAGACTTGAGATGAAGGAAGAAATGAACTCCTCTCTTCCCTTCACATTTCTTCAAGCCAGTACCTTAAGAGTTATGTGTCTTTCTTTTTATTACATGCCACAGATCAGCATATAGTAAATAAATCGGTATTCAGCTTCACAGGCTAAATGCTACAGTCCATGGTGTAACTTCACTGCCTAAGTAACTTACGGCAAAAATATTTCAAATTTAGCTCTTCGTTTGTGCATTTGGATGGGAAAAGTGTGATCAATACATTTATTCCAATTAAAAATATACACTAAAAGGAAAAAAAAAAAAAATGGCACCCACAAGGGAAAAGGCAAAAGTAGAAGTAGAAAAGCACAGGATGAAGAAAAGCATGAAAGCAAGCTGCTGCGCTGATAAATGAAATGAGACAAAAGAATGAAGGCAGTGAGCTAACAATGTGGAATACATTATGTCTAGATTAGCAGGGTTCTCTAAAATAAAGGAAGTGGCTTGTATAAACCATGTGTCTCTGGAACATGTCATGCAGATAAAAGCACGGAAGATACACAGGTAGCAGCGGCAGACTTCTGCTGACAGGGTTTGAGCGTGGCTGCTGACAGAATTAGGTCAGCAGAACAGATTGCAAATAGTTCAAGCTTTTTGCCTTAGTTTTCTTTCCAGTATTATTGCCCGCATCAAAGGTGCTGGTGCATAGGAAATCTGTAAAAAGAACGTTGGTGGTGATGCGTTACCATGCTAGCAACTAGAGGCTCTAGTGTAAGTTACGGGATTTTACTTCAGAAATGCAAGTTCAGCTAGGAACTTGGTTTAAAATTTGTAATTCAAGGGGGTGATTAGCAATTGCATTTCATTTAGAACGGAGTTGCGTAAAAGCTGTGGAGAGAGCTGAGGAAGAAAGGTCTAATTAAAGAAAAGGATTATCGTACCACACCGGGTGGTGACACGCTCTCCGGTCCCGCGGGCGATCAAGGTCAGTGCTGCTTCGCTGCCCGTGCCTCGCCGCAGAGAAGCTGAGGTGTTGATCTCCTGGGGAGCACGTCTTCTAAGGCACCTTTGTGAGCGGCAGCACAACGTTTTAAGCTGTTCACAAACAGTTTAATCCTGAATGCCAAGTGCTACCTGAGCAGGATCCTCCTCGTACAAGGTGTGGGGAAGAGGGAGTCGAGTGGAAACGGGGGAGCAGTCCCAGGAGTATAATCGGTTTCAAGGGTTAAATCGAAGTCAGGGTGAAGGAAAATGGGGCGACAGTAGTTATTAAGCTACAGGCCCAAATCTTGTAAGCTGGTAGACCTTCACCGTTCTTGTCAAAAGAGGCGTGAATAAATGATCACAGAAGCAAGTGCTGGCATTCAGAGCATCACAAAAGAGCGAGATTAATGCATTTTTAATTCATAAGG